CTCGAAGGGGCGCCCGGATCTGAGGGGGGGGCTGCCTCGCCCGGCCCCCCTCCGAGAGAGAGCGCCCGCGACCCTCGAGTCCCCGTGCTGCACCTCGGAGGCGTCGGCCCCGCAGGCGGCGAAGTTGGCCGCGCACCGCGCGACCTTCCCCTCGTCTACGCTCGGAGGCCGCCGCCTACACGCCGGCCCCGACCTTGGCCGGGCCCGTTCCGGGACCAGGACCAGTGCATACTGCGAGAAGCGGCGCCCGTGCACCGTATACCATGATTGGACTCCGTTCGGGCCCCGCTCCAGTGGGGTCGAATGCACCGCTCTTCCCCACATGTGAAGTGGGGCTTTTAGTTTTCCAAGACACCCCACGCAGGAACCAGAAGAGAACACACGCACCATCACTATCATCACCACCATTGCTACCATCACCATGACCATCACCATCATCATGACCATCCACCATCACCATCACCATCAATGTCATCACCACCATTCTCATCATCACCATCAGCATCAACATCCTCCTCATCATCAGCAGCATCGTGTGCAGATATGACGCGTAATTCTCACTTCCGGCGTAATCATAATGCACTTTTCGCCAGGCCGACAGACTGACTGACTTTCACCAACATCGTCTTCTCCCCTCCACCTTTACCACCACCCACCGACTCTACCTTTAACACCTCGACCGAATCTACCGCTTCGGCATCATCTTCATCATCATCATCTTCATATCATCATAATATCATCATCTTCATCATCAGCATCGGTACAGCAGCAGTATCGGCCTTCATCATCAGCATCAGCTTATTCATCTATCGTCGTCGCCATCATCATCATCTCATCGTCATCATCATCATCATCATCATCATCATCATCATCATCATCAATCAGCATCGTCATCGTCATCGTCATCATCATCATCATCATCATCATCATCAGCATCAGCATCAGCATCAGCATCAGCATCAGCATCATCATCATCATCATCATCATCATCATCATCATCATCATCATCATCATCGTCGCCGCCATCGTCATCACCACACATGCACTCACGCATTCAACTGGCGCGCCCAATCATGAACTTATACATTCAGGGCCACCCACACCTGCCGAGGCAGTCTCGAGCGGTGGCATCGTCTGTGAGTGAATCGCGACGAAGTCTCGAGCGGGCGCCCCTTCTCTGTGGGGCCATCTCTCTTCACGCTCGTGATCCGAGGCGGCCATCGGAGAACCTCTATCAAAAGCACTGGGTATCCCACACCTGGCAACCTGAATCGTGGAGGAAGTCTCGAGCAGGAGCCCCCCTCTCTGTGGGGCCCGCGCTTCAGGTTACTGCCTCGGGGCGCCCGTCGGACCTGTTAACAAAAACATGCGGTTCCACACACACCTGGCAGCCTGAACCTTGAGGAAGTCTCGGGCGGGAGCCTCCTCTCCAGTGGAGCCGCGCTTCATGCTGATGATCCCAGGCGGCCATCGGAAACCATGTGAAACCAGATGGATTCTCACACCTGGCAACATGAATCTCGAGGAAGTCTCGAGCGGGACCCCCCCCCTCGTACTGGGACCTGCGCATCCGATTAGTAATCCGAAGCAGACATCGGAATTCTCGAGCGGAGACGTCGTCTGTGTTTCAATCGGGACGAATTCCAAGCGGGAGCCCCCTCCCCTCCTTCTGGGGCCCGCACTTAACGGCAGTAATCCGAGGCGGCCATCTGAAAACATGCGAAACCACACGAAATCTCACACCGTACAACATCTCGAGCAAGATCCCTTTCGCTATGGGGCCCGCACTTCATTTCCGAGACGGCCATCGGAAGTCTCGAGCGAAGCGTCGTCTGTAGGTGAATCGTGAGGAAGCCTCGAGGGGGAATCCCCTCACAATGGGGCCCGTGCGTCACGTCACTAATCCAAGGCGGTTATCGGCAAACTTGTAACTTTCGTCACTTTGGGGCTTTCGAGGCCTGAACTCTGAGGACGTCTCGAGCGGGAGCCTCGTGCGTGAGTAAATCGTGAGGAAGCCTTGAGCGGCCCTCCACATGGGACCTGCCCTTCATGTGACGACTCTCGGGCGATCATCGGCAGACCTGTAGCTTTTCTCAAGTTTGGGCTGTGAAGGCCTGGATATGAAGGACTTCTGGAGCGGGAGCCTCGTCTGTGCGTGAATCGCGAGGAAGCCTAGGGCGGGACCCCCCCCTCCCTAAGCCCGCGCTTCGTGTCAGTAACCAGGGGGTGGACATCGGCAAACATGCACTCGTCGTCAATCCTGGGCTCTCGAGGCGTGAAACTTGAGGTAACTTCGAACGGGAGCGTCGTCTGTGAGGGAAATTGGGGGTACGTATCGAGCGGGAGCCCCTCCCTATGGGACCCCCGCTTCGTGGCTGCAGCTGTCGTCACTTTTGGGCTCTCGAGGCCTGAGTGTTTGAGGAAGTCTCGAGCAGCAGGGGACTGAAAAGGTGGGAGCAGGAGGAGGACAAAGAGGAGGACACAGAGGAGGAGGAGGAGGAGGAGGAGGAGGAGGAGGAGGAGGAGGAGGATAAAGAGGAGGACACAGAGGAGAAGGAGGAGGAGGAGGACACGAACGGGGAAGACGGAGGAAGAGGAGGAAGAGGAGGGTGGGGGCAGGGGAGGAAGGAGGCGGACGAGAGGGGACCACCACAACGACCACGAGGTCGAGGAATTTCAGCGGCGACATGCTTATGCCAGCTGAAGCGGCGACGGCGCCAAGGAACGTAGACTCGCGCGCCCTGGGTGGAGGAGAGGGGGGGGGGGGGGGAAGACCAGGAGGAGGAGGGAGAGGAAGAGGAGGTGGCAGAAGGAAAAGGCAGGGAGGAGGTAGGAGGTGAACGAGGAGGCGATTGGAGGACGGCCCCCACAACCAAGAAAGACGACGACGAGGACCCAAACAAATCTCAATCGAGTCTTCTGCGGGGTCCTACCGTCGGCGAGACTCGGCTTTGGGAGCCGAGCAACTATGCACCATACCGCTCCTGGGTCGAATGTCGACGACGCCTCAGGAGACGCAAGAAAGACGACGACGAGGACCCAAACAAATTTCAATCGAGTCTCCTGCGGGGTCCTACCGTCGGAGAGACTCGGCTTTGGGAGCCGAGCAACTATGCACCATACCGCTCCTGGGTCGAAGGTCGACGACGCCTCAGGAGACGCCAGAACGGTACGGTGCACACGAGTCGTCCGCGGAAATACGCCCTCCTGGCTTGGCGAGGGAAGCATGCACAACACCCACCAGCGTCAGCCTGGCAGGTGTCGGTGCAGACGCATATGATTACCCTGACATCCGCCGATGGGGTGCTTCTAAAATCCAGCGCCCCAGAAGTCCCGACCCGCTTTCCCGGGAAGGCTAGCTGTTCGCCCCCGATCCACTCTGGACGGTCCCGGGGCCCGATGACCAGCCTCAGAGGCCGACACAGAGGGAAACCGCCCAGATTGACGACCGCCATGTCGTCGGAGGTCTGCTGGGGGCCTCCCAAATGGGGTCCGAGTACGGCGGGTTCGTGTCGTGTCGACCCCCGGCGGTGGCTTCTGCCACCGCGGGGATCGTTCGAGTTTGACCGATCGGCCGTTTCCGAAACGTTCGATCGTTCAGCATCGACCGATTCTGGGTCTCCGGCGGCCTTCGACGCTGACCGCCGGCGGCGGGGTCGCCGCCGGTCGGCACAACGCGAACCTACCGTAGCTGGGATCCGAGGATCGCGCCGCGTCCCCAGTGCATCACCAGTGCATTTTCGATGCATCGACGACGTCGGGGTGGAGAAGCTCGGGCTCCAAGCCGCGCCGCATCGTCGATGCATCGGCGATGCGGCACGACCCTCCGACCCCACCTGCGGCAGGCTCGCGTCGGGACGACCTCGGCGTTGGCTTCTGACACGGCGTGGGCCCTCCAACCCGCGCCAAAGGCGGCGCTTCGATCGCCAGGTCGGTCCAAGACTGGCCGATTCTGGGCCGCTGGCGGCGTTCAGCCTTGGACGCCCGCGGCGGGGTCGCTGCCGCGTCGCCACGACGCGAACCGGCCGCACCCGTACCCCCCACGCAAGAGGCCTGGACCTGGGCAGCCGGCGCCCTCCGAGATGTCTCGGCCCACCAGCCGAGGCGGCTCGCCCTTCCTGGGTGGCGGCAGGAGGGGGGAGGAGGGAGGAGGAGGCGGAGGAGGCGGAGGAGGCGGAGGCGGAGGAGGAGGAGGAGGAGGAGGAGGAGGAGGGGGAGGAGGAGGAGGAGGGGGAGGAGGGGAGGGAGGAGGAGGGGCGTGGGGGGGAGAGTGGAGGAGGAGGATGCGGATGATGTTGTGGAGGAGGAGGAGAGGAGGAGGAGGAGGAGGAGGTAGGAAGAGGAGGAGGAGGAGGAGGAGGAGGAGGAGGAGGGAGGAGGAGGAGGAGGAGGAGGATGGAGGAGGAGGGGGAAGGAGGAGGAGGTGGATGAGGAGGAGGAGGAGGAGGAGGAGGGGAGGAGGGGTGGAGGAGGAGGGACTCTCCTGAATTCTCCCGATGCGCGCGCACGGCACGGTAACTTCGCCGCGCGCTCGACGAATTCCGAGCTGCCATCGAGCTGCCGGCAGCGTTGCTCGGCGAGGTTTGCGGCGACGATGGTCCCTCCTTCTCCTCCTCCCCCTCCTCCTCCTCCTCCTTCCTCCTCCTCCTCCGCCTCCTCTCCTCCTCCTCCTCCTCCTCCTCCTCCTCCTCCGCCTCCACCTCCTAAAATCCGCTCAAAATCGGTCCACGGACCCCTCTCGGGGTCCATCTGTCTTCGCCGCGTGCTCGACGAATTCCGAACCCGCCCATCGAGCTGCCTGCATCGTTGATCGGCGAAGGTGCGGCGACGAGGTCAAATCCGCTCAAAATCGGTCCACGCCGGCTCTGACTGCAACAGGATGTCTGATGTCCTCGAAGCAGTAAAGAAGGAAAACACTATGGTTGAAGGAAGGCGCCGACAAGCGCATACTTGTCTCCAGAGGTCCACGGACCCCTCTCGGGGTCCATCTGGTGCATTTTGCTCAACATGGACCAATTTCAGACGGTCCCGGGCCCCGAATGAATGAATGCAATCCGGGTGTCGAAGCACATGGGCAGTAATGCAACACTATGGGCAGTAGTGTCGCACAGCGGCTTTCCAGGCTTCTGCTGGGATTGCCGCGAGCTGTCGAAAATCATACGCATGGCTCTCGCAGACTCTCTTCGCATGCTTGGCCGAAAGAGGCCGAAAATGGCAATACAGTCGAACCTAGGCCAGAAAAAAACATCCAAGGGTACCCCCCCAAGGATGCACAAAAACATCCCACGAGCACGAAGAACACTAGGGCACCCTCCCCGAACCGACCCCGATCTGATGCCGCGGTCCGACTGTGCACATTTTCGCTCGAGTTTTTCGTGTTCGCCCTCCTCCTCGGAGGCGAGGGTAGGGTTCGGAGTTCGCCGCCGACTTCCAGGCGCGCGCGGCCGCCAGCAACAGCGTGCCCAGGCCGCAGGCTGGGTCCACCTCGGGGACGCACTGAGCAGGGTCGGTGCAAGCCTGGGTCAGCCACGCATTGCAGGATCAGTAAGACGAAGCCAAGACGGTGACACAATCGGGTGAGGATAAGCCGAGAATCTCTGAGATCCGGCGGCTCTGGAGGATGCCTCGGCCGCCGCGGCCTTCTCAGAGCGTTCCAGAACGCTCTGAAATGGATCCTAGCCCCGACCGAATCAGGATCCCGCGCAAGCCCAGAGCAATGCACCCCTGGCACAGCAGGATCCTGCAAGATCCGGCGCTCTGGCTGACCGTGTGCATTGACCCCCGTCTCTCTTCGGACGCCCGAAATTGATATGGAACAATGGACACAATGCCCAAGAACACATGTTGTCCAAGACCGACAGCGGCCGCTGTTGGGCAGGCGGCCTTCTGTCTCAAAAGGACAACGTCCGCGGCGACGCCGACAACGAGCCTTGTTTAAAAGGGGCAAGAAATACTGTCGGTCTTCGTACCCACTCCTTCCGTACACACCCTGATATCTGCCGACATGATCTTTTCAATCCGCAGCCCCAGAGGTCCCGACCACCTTCTTTGGGGCCAGTCTTCCACGACTCGTGTTTGTGGTCCCCGGAGCCCGATGAAGCGCCCCAAGGGAAAACGCCGGGATTGGGAAAGTCACAGCATCGGACCTCATCGGCTACGCGCAAGAGTCACCCTGGGTAAGACTGACCTTTGGTGCGCGGCCTTTTGGGGGACCGCGGGGTGACCAAACACAAGCGCGCATGACGCTGCTATCGCATCGCGTTCGGCGATCGGGGGACACCACTGGGCCCACACCCACCAGAGGTCACTCCAGCGAAGGGGCACTCCAAGCGTACTCCGAGCTTCTTAATCAGCGTCGAGGGGCGTCACCCCCGCCGACAGCCCCACGTCGACCCCCGTCGCGGGCAGCCACCGCGCGCCGAAGGCGCTCCGACCCCCGTCGCGGCGCGACGACGATCGTCGCGAGGTTGACCCCCGTCGGGGGAGGAGGAGGAGTAGGAGGAGGAGGAGGAGGAGGGAGGAGGAGGGGGAGGAGGAGGAGGAGGAGGAGAAGGGAGGAGGGAGGAGGGAGGAGGGAGGAGGAGGAGGAGGGGCACCCCCCCACGCTTCCTTCCCCTGAGCCCTACCACCACTTCCTCCCCCCCCTCCCTCCCCCTTCCCCCCCCCAAGACATCGACCAAGCAGCCTATCATCCCTCACCCCTCCCCCCACCCCCCCCCTTCAGCCCCCCCTTCTCTCCTCCCTCTCCTCTTCCACCCCGCCCATCCCCCCCCTTCCCCCCTCCTCCCACTCCCGCCCCCCCCCCCCCCCCCCCCCCACCCCCCCACGCTTCTTCAGAACCCCAGAGCAGCCGACAAAGACCACACCTCGTCGGACCTCAGAGCACCCAGACACCCGCCTGCTCCACTCTCTGTGGCTGCGTGGGCCCCGGAGGCCCGCCCCCGGACCGCTGCCTCGCCCCGGGCCGCTTCCTGACGCCCCCGAGGCCCGGCGTGGGCCCCCGAGGGCCGAGAGCGGCCGAAAACACCGCCTGCTCCAATCTCCGTGGATGCGTGGGCCCCGGAGGTCCGGCTACTACCGCTTCCACGGGTCGCTTCCTGACGACGCCCCCGAGGCCCGGCGTGGGCCCCCGAGGGCCGAGAGCGGCCGAAGACACCCGCCCGCTCCACTCTCCGTGGATGCGTGGGCCCCGGAGGCCCGGCTACCGCTTCCCCGGGACCGCTGCTTCGCCCCGGGTCGCTTCCTGACGACGCCCCCGAGGCCGGGCGTGGGCCCCCGAAGGCCGAGAGCGGCCGAAGACACCGCCCGCTCCAGTCCCTGTGGGGCGCGGATGTCCGCGGAGGAGGAGGAGGAGGAGGAGGCAGAGGAGGAGGGGGAGGAGGAGGAGGAGGAGGGGGAGGAGGAGGAGGAGGAGGAGGAGGAGGAGGGGGGAGGAGGGAGCCTTTTTAGGAGGGAGGGAGGAGGAGAGGAGGAGGAGGAGGAGGAGGAGGAGGAGGAGGAGGAGGAGGAGGAGGAGGAGGAGGAGGAGGAGGGAGGAGGTAGGAGGGAGGAGGGAGGAGGGAGGAGCAGGCGTCGGGCACGTCGACCGCACCGATCTTGCGGCCCGCCCACCACGGCCCGCCCGCCGCTCGGGCCCGCGGCCTCGGCGGCGAGGGCGGCCATGGCGCCCGCGAGGTGCGTGTCCATGCCGGCGCGCGGCACGGCGCTCCTCGGCGGCGCGCGCGAGGGGCCTCCTCAGAAGTGTGATCACACTTGTCTTGTTTTATCACACTTGTTGTTTATCACACTTGTTTTTATCACACTTCTGGTTCTTTTAGCACACCATCCTCCTCCTCCTCTCCTTCCCTCACATCACTTCCTCCTACTCACGCTCATCCTCCTCTCATCACCTACACCACATACTCCACCTGCGCCGGCTTCCTGCTCCTCTCTCCCCCTCCTCCTCCTCCCCCTCCACCCATCCCCCTCCTCCTCCTCCTCCTCCTCCTCATCCTCCTCCTCTCCTCCCTCATCATCCTCATCCTCATCCTCATCCCTCCCTCCTCCCTCCTCCTCATCCCCATCCCCCCCTCCTCCTCCTCCTCCCCCCCCTCCTCCTCCTCCTCCTGCTGCAAGATCCTGCAGGATCCTGCGCGCCGGCCCAGGTCCATGCAGGACCCTGGCGTTGCAGGGGTCCTGCAAGCTCGGGCGCTCTGGCCGACCCCCGCCTGCGTTGACCCCCGGCTCAAGGCTCCCGAGATCAGGGAAACCTTCGGCGGCCCGAGACGGCCCAAGAGCCCCCAAAGATCGCCCAAAGATCGCCCAAGAGGCCTCCAAGATGGCCCCAGAACGGGCCAAGAGGCCCCCAAGACGGCCCCAGGAGGCCCCCAAGATGGCCCAGGAGGCCTTTAAGACGCCCAAGATGGCCCCCGGGGCCCTCGCTGGGCCCCCGAGGCCGTCGAAGAACGCATCGAGGAGGAGAACATGGTCCCGGGGAAGGGGTCCAGGTCCACGCTGTGGAAACGTCACGACGCCGGAAGGCGGGCTCCGCAGAAGGCAGGGGCCCGATCAGGAGGGCCCCAGGGGGCTTAGAGGAAGGCTTCTCAGACGATCTCGTATTTCTCGAGAAGGGGATCCACTACAGAATTGTTTTAGCCCAGACTTTCTTTTTCAGTAGAGCATGTCACAAATAAATCGAATGCTCCTCAGATCTGCGTGGGTTTCTTTGCATTTTTTAAATGCATTTGACGGAACAGCGATATTCAGGGTACGCCAATGCTGCAGTCGACCCCCTGCTCGAGTTCTCAAAAGCGCAGCCCCAGATGCCCCGACCCCTCCCCGAAGGCCGCGGTTTCGCCCTCGATCCGCCTGTGATGGCCCCGAGGCCGAGACCCGAGGACAGGCCTCGGAGCAGGGCGGTTGGAGACACCGGGAATTCTCCTCCTCCTCCTCCTCCTCC